TGTTTTTAATTTGAACTAATGATCCATTCAGTCCGCAAGCGTTCAACCTAGTGAGCTTTCAAATGAATCTATTACTGTACTCACTCTCAAATGGCTGATCACTGATTCATATTTATTCTTTTGACTTCGGTCAGTATTTATTTGCGATCACTTTGCCAGGTTTGAGGGATGTATTTGTTGGTGCAAACTATATCACGCATACGGTAGGAGGATTAGCTAAACTTGTTTTGCATCATGATGATGCTTTTTTGTTATTCTTTGACATAATACCACACGTCCGCATTTGGCTTCCGCTTGTTTATTCGACATACATATGTATACTAAATGTGTAACGATGCTCTTTTTTTCTTGTGCTTTTTCTCGATGCAGACATCACCTATTTGTATTCAATATTTATTATTTTGTTTAACATACTTATTAACTTTGCCAAGATTTCACTTTTTAATGTTTGCTTCCACTTGTTTTAGCTATTTCCTCACCGGCTACTACCATGGAACATGGGTCATACCGTTGGTATGAAAGGAACGCTAAAGATGACGCTGCGTCTTACGTTTTTCTCCTAACCTCTCAGTACTCGTGCTCTTAGTGTTGGCTCATCTTTTGTTATTTTATGGGCTGTAGCCGAGTGGCGTAATAATGCTGGGGCCCAACTATCTCAAGCTATGGAAAATATGGGCTCAATTCCAGTGGGTACACCACCAGAAACATCTTCGTATTTTGCTTCCTTTTAGCTGCTCGCTACATGGTCTAGGTTTCGTTGGTGGGTTGGTGAGAAGCGTTATCCGATATTTCCCGTCACCTTGAACAATGGGGAAACATGGAACAAATTTCCGTGATGTCTTAGGTGAGTAGGTATAAATATGACCACTGTGCGAAACATAAAACCACCAACTTTTCGAGACTAATATTTGTTTTTGTTTTAACTGTAAACAATTTTACTTTTATTGCAACCAGTCAGCGGCTCATCAGTGGCTAATGAGCTCAATCGAATAAAAATGAGACCGTAAATGAGCTAAAGATGAAATGCAGATCAGCCAATCCACTTGTGTGAGGTTGTGATTTGCATTGTACCTACCTACATAATTTTATTCCATCTTTTCTCTACTCAGCGAGGTGTATTTTTTCACTGCCAATTACTCTGGCCTCTCGCATCGGGCACGCGTAGACAGATGGTAAACTGTATATTGGCTCTGCCAACCGATCGTCCATCCATTAATGCGGCCCACATCGACAAGTACTCTATGGAAATAGGCTGGGGATTTGTCGGACTCTATACTCCATTAGGAAGCTTCATCAACACTGTGGAAAGCAATCATTTGCCCTAAGCCTCGCGGGAGAAATTTACCTACATTCTTGCGCACCGGTTGAGGGTATGCGTTGGAAGTCTTTTTGCGAGCACCATTTTGGTTTTCGCCAACTTGGAGTATTTTTTTCGTATAAATTTATTTTCATCGATGAGATTTTTTGCGGCAATAGATAAAAAAATAGGTCGTAGCACGTTCAGACTATAGCTGATATCATGTAATATTCATTTTTCTTTTTCTTTGATTTTTTTTTCCGTCGATCTTGTGTTCCGTACTTAGTACTAATGCTACCGACGCCAGGGAGGCAGCTCCCACACCTGGAGCCTACCTATCGACCCATCAATTCATGGATCTGGAACCAACGGCTTTACTGCCCTTCCGAAGGAAGGCATGATCAGAGATTTTATGCCTCAAAAAATCCCGACGGCGCAGACTGGGATTGAACCCAGGCCCTTTGGAGTGAGAGGCAGTCACGCTTACCACTACACCATAGGCGCCTCTTTAATATCTATCTTGCGATGAGCTCAAATTTTCACCGTATGTATGACATTTGATATCACAGTTTTGTTTTTGTGATGGAAGTTATTAAACGGACATCAAAAATCGTCTGTAACTTTTCATTTTCCATTGTATTTGTATTGTTTATTCAGGATATGTGTACATTATGATCCACACCAGGGCTCTACAATTTCGAAGCTCTAAAATGAACTCGTGTTTTGTTTCTCTCATACATACGTGTTCGACGCTTCATTTCTATGACGCCTAGCTAGACTATCAGCAAGAAACGAAGATCGCTTAGAAGGAAAGGCTGGCTGTGGAACTTCTCGTCGTTGCTTTGCTCATCGCTTTCAATGTAACTAACGTCGATTTTCTAGTTAAACGAACTTCATTATGGCTTTCAATCCCCTTTCACGAACACTCTATCACCGCTCTTTCAATTTGTTTAAAATGCGTTATGTCTCGTTTTCGATCATTTTTTTTAGATAAATATATGGATGGAAGATAAATTAGAAACATGACGTGTAATCTTCAAGTGTTTTGACGTGAGAAATGCTTTAAATGTGTTATTTCATTTTCCGTCATATACGTCATGAAACCTCTGTTGATGTGTTTCATGAAAGAGAAAACTATCATAGTCGAGCGCTCTTTCGCTCATCCGTTTCGACGAAGCTTGAAAGGAAGACCAACGGAGCGACGGGAGAAAGAGAGACAAGCGATTGAACATTTGTTTGTGCACGCCGACTGAGGTTCTAGAATGCTGCAAAGCTGTTCGACTTTAACAGAAAAAGAATGCCAGCAGTCTCTTCGTCGCATCGATTTGGTCGATTGAAGCTGATATTGTGACGCCCTGATCCACACACTTAGAAAAAATCATGCGAGATATAGCTCAACCAAACGTAAATTTCGTTGAGCAAAGAATTTTTCAGTCTCGGAGCACTTAACATTACATGACATGTTTGTTTACGTTTCATCTTTTATGTCAAAGATGGATTCCATCACCTGTAAAATAAGTTATTTGTAAGTGTGCAAACAAAAATATACATTGCTTAAATTAAGGATAATCAAACGCATAACTTCAGAATGAACCATTAAAACAAGTATTCTAAAAAAAATGTATTTACAAAATACAAAAAAAAATTAAATGCTTCCATCTCTTTGTTTTCTCGCGTAAACATACAAGTTTTTTTTTAATTTTTTCTTCAAATCCTCTTTATGCACTTACGTGCCTTACAAGCCTTGAGCTAAAAAATCGTATCCTTTACATAGGATCATAGCAATGAAAGGGACAACAACTTCATGCAAACGCTAATCCAGAAAGTGTTTACTCTGACGATTGAAAAATCAACATCGAATTTTTCTTGCTCTAATCATTTATATTAAGCGTGTTCGTTTATACCAGTTCAATTTAGTATAATTTCTGACTACGTTTTGAAATGACCTTTAGCTTAACAGTTCATCCTGCTTAATACGAACTGTTGTTTTAAAGCGCACAAAAATGTGTACAAACAAGTTTTTGAGTGTTTATGCATATACTGGACATATCTAGATTAACAGTTCAAGAGGTCCTGTCTGCATTTATCTTTTATTTTCAGGATTCATTCGATATTCTAATTGAATAATGGTTTAAAGAAAAAATATAATCTTCTTCTTTTTCTTCTTTGGCTATTATGCCCCAACTAGAACTTTACGCTTGCTCCTCTCAACAGAAGGGATTAGAGGCAAAGGGGTAAAAGTGATTTTAATTGATTCTCTTCGTCGACTTTGTCTTTCGTTAATAACTCAGCGGCAAACATACTCCTTGATGCAGTTGCTATTCTGCATGACAGATGATAATCTCCTTTATAAAACAATGTAGCAGAAATCGGTTGATAAAGCCGTGATTATCAAAAAAGAATATCGATGAAGAGAATCGACCAAAATCACTTTTACCCACTTAGTGTTTTTTGAGCACTTCCACTGCTGTTAATCGAGAGATTTCTTAGCCTGCACCATTTTTGCAGGCACGTATTTCGTGTTGCAAGCACAATCATACCCTATTTAAAACAGCAAAAAAAGGGTTATCTTCCATTTAATTCCACCTGATTAATTTTGGTATCCATGACACATACGTATTTCGACTACAATGTGCAGTCTTCATCAGTGTCAGAACTTATCAAAGTCTAGGTAAAAAAAGTCAAGATCACAGGTACAAAAATGAAACTACAATGTGTTGAATCGGAATCTACCTAACTAATAAAAACCAAAGATTTAAGTAAAGGACAAAAAATCTATACAACTCTCTACATCTATACATCTCTGTGATCTTGACTTTTTTACCTAGGAGATGAGTACTTAAGGGGGTTAGATTTTGATAAGTTCTTTAGTGGGAATAGCGGTAGTAAACTTATGCCAAATATTCATTCTTCATTAATTAACTTTAGAAAAAGATGTACGTAAGAGTTCACATTTACCTGTTTAATGGTCATTTTAAAAGAAAATATATTGAATGTGCTTGTTCAAATACTTGCGCAATTAAATAATTGAAATAATAAAATAGATAAATGTATTGTTTAAAAGTAATAGATAGGGGAATTTACGTATTCTCGTCAATCTAAGCAGCGTCCGAACTTCTATTAGCGATTTCTCAGCGTCACACACATACATGACAGGTTTGTTTGTTGACATTTATCTGCTGCTTCCTGTTCTACCAATTCCAATTGATAGAATTTATCAAAACGGGTTGAACATGTTTTTACAACGCTCCAAACTTCTCAGATGAGTGAGACTATTGTCGGCAGTCTCTTTTTCTTCGGCACCCTTTCCATTTGAACTGCGTGTTAACCAGCTGTTCTATTATCGGCAACTCAAAATCAGCCGTATTTTGTAGTGTGTATATTTCATTTAAAGAAAAATATGGCATAACAGGATTGCACAGTCGTAAAAATGTAATCAGGTTAAAGCTGAAAAGGTAAGAAATCGACTTTATACATTCAGCGAAGTGTTTTGATGGGAAAATACAGTGAAATTAACGTTTCAATTTCGGTTGCCGAAAACAGTCAATGGGTGCCGAAGCCATAATTTACCCTACATAATCAACATCGAAATATAAACATATGTATTTTTTAAACTTTATTAGGGAGATTTTTACCCGTAGGCTAGTTCATCACTAACGAAACATGTAAATTCGGAAAATGAGATAAATATTACTGTACTTACTGTTGAAATGCTTGATTGGAGTTCCAACCACGCGAAATGCTACACAGGGAGTAAATATGTTCTGGTTCGGAGTCATATCATCTGAAAGTAATGAAAATGGAAAAGTAATGGTGAGTTTATTTTTAAAAATCTGATTTATTGTAGTACTTGACGTAGCAGCATATACTGCCAGCGTTTGGCCCTAGAGATCCTCTAATTGACCCCATCTTCAATTTCACATTTTTGCATTATTTTCAAATCTACGCAAATTCCTCAATTTTGAGTAAATTAAACCATTTCTGATCAGGACTTTGTTGCTTGCTATTATCAAAGTTCATACAAGTACAACATTAGCAGCTCCTTAGAAAAACTAACATACATAAATAGGTGACTGTCTTCGACGACCGTGTCGTATGACAGAGACTTGTTGATTATTAATTTATTTGATAAGGCTCAAACGAATTAACTTTACAGAGCCGAGGATTCTTGATCACTATACAATACATCTTGAAACTATAGTCAAAAGGTACAACACAATAAACACTTTATCTTCCGCTATCCAAAAAGCCTAATCCATCAGGGGGCCGCTTCCAGTGGTTTCATTGTATGGCAGTTACATCCCAAGTAACAATTTTGGTTTTATGAGGTTTCTGTAGACCATGATTTAGACTTGTAGAATGCTATAAAACCGCGATAAACCCTGCAATGTTACTTGGGATTGCAGCAATGTGTGTGTGTGTGTGTGTGTGTGTGTATTCAATCTAACCCCCACTGGCCGGCAGTTGTATTATGGAAGAAATTTGCTTACAACAATCCTTGATGTAATAATTTAAAGCAAGTTTAGTCCGGGAGTTAGAAAGCGATAGCTCTACTGCAGATTCAGCAACCCATTTCAGAATGGCTGGTAATTCACGTCCATTCCGAGGTTACTTTCACATACAATAAGCCCCGCATGTAAACACTACCATTATCATATTAATAATGGTACTGCAAACACACTTCCAGATTTCGAAATGTGATGTTTCGAAATCTGGCGCGTATTTAGTAATATATGGAAATATGCATTTATGATTGATTATAAATCAGATGGATCTCACCAAATTCTGCCTCCGAAAAAGGACCGGTTTGTTCACTCGCGGTAATCGAAAAAATCTTCCGCGTTGTTTTTACAACCCAATACGACATTTTGAATCACATTCGATGTTTTTCATTTGCACCGAAGTTTTGCTTGACACCTCATTCACGTGCATCCTCCGGAAGAAGAGCACCAAGAAAAGAAAAAAAAAAATACCCGGTAAAACTCTTCTTGGGAGGGAGGCAAAGCACCAAAAACAAGCGAAATGAAAAACCGACCGACGCGACACCACAGCAACACAGCTACTCGAAACAAATTCTTGTCTAAGATTTTTCACGTTAATTACAAAATCACTAAAAAAAAACTTCTTAAGACGTGATAGATCTTAATTTACACTTATCCACACGCGAAAACTAATATTTGTTTGATGTTACTTGGGAATCCCAAGTTGGAATTGCAGCAATGGACGCAAAACGTGGTCAACACTGACACACTCATCACGAAACGGTTGCTTTCCAAAGTCGACGACGTATCGACCGAAAGTACTGCTGATGAAGAACAATGAGAATGACCACACAATGGTTGCTGCCGAGAAAATAGACGATCGCGTGGCACACATCAAGAGTGGCCTGCTTTTGCGAAGACATCCGTATGACAGAGACTGTCATATGACATTTTAGTTTGGTACTGTACTTTGATATCTTGTTTTGCAAGCGCCGGAAGCAAAAGCAGTCGATTATTACAAAAAGTGCGTTGACTATGGTGACCGATTGCAGCACTGGTTATCGGTGATCATTCACATTTTTGGAAAAAGTTGGCCATTTTGGATCTAGTGTTTTATTTTTTTCAAAATGGCATTTTTGACATTTTTCAATAAATTGTAGCACGAAAACGCCACTTCTGATCGAAGTTGTTTAGAAATGTCTTTCTGGGAAAAATATACAAGGTAATTTTGTTTGGTAGTCTTATATATTTTCAATATTTATAGTTTTTTTTTTAAATGCTCATGAAAAATACAAACTTTTGAAGTATTGAAAACCAACAATACTTGAACATTGATAACAACCGTAGATCATCAACTTTTGGTCATATTGTTAAACTTTTTGCTAACTAGCTTATGCTATTTTTTCACAGAAAACGATTTAGAATGTCTGAAATATTCTTTCCTATAAAAAAGCGTACTAGAAAAAAGTTCAAAAATTTGGCCGAAAAATATTGTTCTACGATTTTTGTCCATTTTCAAGTGTCCATGATTTAAAATATTTCAAAAGTTTGCATTTCTCATGAGCTTTCTTTTGTAAAAAAATATAAAAATTGAAGATCAACATTTTGAGATATTTGAGTGTTGTAACACTTTTTTGGAATTTGTACTCAATATTAAAAAAAGTGCTAGGGGAAATGGATGTAATGTCGGCCTAAATGTCCCTAATTTGGGCCCATACCTAAATTCAGCCATCGACTAAATTTTCAATAGCGATCAAAAATATCCATTAGTACCGTCCCAGCAGATTTTTAGCGATGGGCCCAATCTTAGATCCATAGGCCAACATTAGAGCAATTTCCCCTGTGTACATTTTTCAAGAAAAGCTTTGTTTTTCTACAACTTTGTCTTAGACGTTATTTCGATCAGAAGTTAAGTTTATGTGTTACAATTTATTGAAAAATGACAAAAACGACACTTTGAAATAAATTAAACGATCCAAAATGGCCGAATTTTTGTAAAAATGTGAGTGATTGCCCATTACACACACAATTATGCAAAGTTTAAAGCAAATCTGAGTTGGTTGTTTCGTCAATTGGCGTGGAACTGCTCTACTTAAATTTAATTTTTGTCAACTGTTTTTTTTCTCTGTAAGTTTGAAAATCGGTTCAAATTGAACCGAGTTCGGTCTTATTTTCTAAGTGTGCGGCCAAGGAAGTCGAGAAATTTTCAAACCCGGAAAAGTCCTAAACCCGACGGGAATCGAACTTACTTTATAGCTGCACTTTTACTGACTGAGCTAAGGTAGGCCAAAAATCTAAGGGAGGCTAAAACTGGTACACTATACCTTTATTTATATAAATTAATTTAAATCGTGTAGCTTAAGACTAATACCAGACAATTCAAACTACAATATATTGATACCTTTCTTCAGTGTTGTTCGTTCAGTTCAAGATGTTCAATTCCATGAGTATATGAGCTTGAGACTCGATAAATTACCTTTTATTTTCGCACCTAGTGATAATCTTTTCCAATTGATAATACCTGTTATCAAGCCTGATTATGAAATTATGAAATATTATATGATAATCTGTATTTGTAATATGCAAGAAGAGTATGCTAAATTTGTGTACGGCTAGTTGTCACACGAGTACTGAGTTTAAACATTTGATACTTTACGCAATGACCATAGCGAAGAAATACAAAAACAAACCGGCAAGCGAAACAAATGTCGTAACATTTCTTTTTTGCCAGCAACAGACCATTTTCGCACACAAAATCAGACAAGACCAGCTTAAAATTTGTCATGTTGAATGTTAGTGAATTCTGGCTAATTACTGCCTTTATTTGATGTTTATTACATGAAATTGAAAATAATTAATAAATTCTAGAACGGGGTAACATTGATAGTTTTTTTTTAAATAAATTTTAAATATTTCTTTCAGCAATGAATGTTTTTGAAATTTTATTTTTTTTATAACAAGTACTGATGATCCTAGAGTAAATTTGTTAGTATTATGTCTAACGGAAATTAAAGTATTTGCACTATTTTTTTTAGTGTTGTGACCGAACATCAGTATTTTGATTTGGGGTTACTTTGATAATGCTCGATGAATGTAGAAAAAAATGCGTGGAACTCAGGCAATTAAGTTATTAAAATATGACATTTTGAATGAGTATACAATCAGAAAACATCATAAGCAATAAAAATACAACATTGAATTTGTGATGGCTATATCGGTCGGCAATACTTTCATCATTGAGTGTTTTTTTCAAACAGGCGAAAAACACGAAAATTGTTTTTAAATATGTTTGTCCAATATGTAACACATACTATACAAAAACTACATACGATATCAACGGAAATACCCTAAGCTACAATATGAAATCAAAGTTTTTAATTCAGAAAAAGCGCAGAGAGTAAATTTAATCATATTATTATACAAAGCTACCCGCATTATCAAAGATTCCCCGTTTTACGGTATGCATAAATAAGGGAGTTGATAATTTCACACGGAAGCTTGCAGCTAAAATTTAATTATTATAAACTATTTGAAAAAGAATGGACTGCGATTTTTTTCCTATTCTCCATCTCCGCCGTTCGTTTGAAATGTAGATATATACGGCCCGTGTGTTGGCTGTTTTGTTTCGATCTGGACGATAGTTTTCCAAAACATATATAGGGGAATTTACGTATTCTCGTCAGTCTAAGCAGCGTCCGAACTTCTATTAGCGATTTCTCAGCGTCACACACATACATGACAGGTTTGTTTGTTGACATTTATCTGCTGCTTGCTGTTCTACCAATTCCAATCGACAGAATTGATCAAAACGGGTTGAACATGTTTTTACAACGCTCCAAACTTCTCAGGTGAGTGTGACTATTGTCGGCAGTCTCTTTTTCTTCGGCACCCTTTCCATTTGAACTGCGTGTTAACCAGCTGTTCTATTATCGGCAACACGAAATCAGCCGTATTTTGTAGTGTGTATATTTAATTTAAAGAAAAATATGGCATAACAGGATTGCACAGTCGTAAAAATGTAATCAGATTGAAGCTGAAAAGGTAAGGAATCGGCTTAATACATTCAGCGAAGAGTTTTGATGGGAAAATACAGTGAAATTAACGTTTCAATTTCGGTTGCCGAAAACAGTCAATGGGTGCCGAAGCCATAATTTACCCTATTTGCCTCCGCTGTGCATGACACATAAAACCTGTAAATTTTGCTTTCACATGGTCCCAAATAGCGATTTTACGATCGCTGAAAGCTCGCGATGAGTGAGCACTCAGCGATCATAAATTCGTTAATTGTGACCCTCTGAAAGCG